TCACTAAAGGTCTTCAACACCTTTAGCACTTTCAAGGGTGACTCAGTCTCCTTCTCTCTTGGCTTCTCGTACTTTAAGGCTGCCAAAAAGGTGTCTTCTTCTCTGCTTATCACCTTGGCAAATTGGATGACTGACACCACCCACGACCTAACTCCAAACCTCTCCTCAATGGTACTAGGCATTGGCACCATGCATCCAAGATGTAAATGTAATTGGCAAAAGGTATAAGGAGGGCATTAATCCGAACAAGAAAATCCAACCCAATCACAAACTCATAGTCGTCAAGGGGTATTACCTCTATGGTCTCCTTGCCTTTCCAGTCTCTAAGCTGTAACTCCACTCCCCACGATACTCCAATGGCTGAAACCTCCTTGGAGTTCACCGTTTTAATGGTACCAATCTTTTTCTGCACTTTTAGTCTGAGCTTTTAGGCTCAATCACCTAAAATAAAAAGATGTGAGGCACCTGTGTCCACTAGTGCACTCACCTTCTGACCCACAACCATCAAATCTGTAAACATCAAGCCCTTTAGCTTGCAACTCCCCTTACTCTAGATAGCATTGAGCACCAACGACCCAAGCTCTGCTACCCCTGACTATGGCTCCTTGTCAGACTCCTTGTCTACAGCAACCAGCTTGCCCTTCTATGGGTAATTACGCGCTATGTAGCTCCCTTCACATAGGTAGCATGCTAGTGGCTATCGGTCCCCCTTTGCTTTCCACTTGCCTGCTAGTGGCTTCCTTTCGCCATCCTTGGTTGAGCGGTCTCGGCCCCTATCTTGGACTGCTTCTTTCGATCCTTCTCGTCCTTGCCCTTACCCTTAGGCTTGGAAGACTTGAACTTGTTTAGAGGCTTAAACTCTATCAAGGACTCAGCAGTAGTCATGGCTTTAGCCAAGTCATGAACTCCCCTCTATTGTAGATCATGCTTCACCCATGACTTCAGCCCATTCATGAAAGCAAATAAGGCATCATTCTCGCCTAGATCCGAGATCTATAATATCAGTTCAGAGAATTTTTGGACATACTTCTTTATGTCCCCTTGCTGGCTCAACCTATGTAACTTTACCCGCACCTCATCATCGGCATACTCCGAGTAAAATTGCTCTCTGAACTCTTTTTGAAACTCTGCCTAGGTTTCAATCTTCGCGCTCTCACACCTAACATCATCACACTTGTACCTCCACCATAATAAGGCTACATCAGTGAGATACATAGCAGTGGTGCTTACCTTTATTGCCTCGTCCTGCATGCTCATGGCCTGAAAATACTACTCCATACCCCATAGGTAGTTGTCTACTTCCTTGGCCGCCTTATTTCCCTTGAACTTTTTAGGCTTGGGGACATCCATCCTAGACTCAGACACTTCAACAAACATGCCATTCCCAATGGCAGTCTTGCAAGCAATAAGCTCGCTAGTGAGCTCTTCTATCCTCTTACTTAAGGCCTCTACCACAACCTTCAAGGTCTCATTCTTTTAAGTGATCACATCCATGCCTTTATTGAAAGCAGCTTGCAACTCGTCACTGAGCTCCTCTTTCATGGAGTCTAGCACTTTAACGTGAGTCTCCACATCCTCAAGCTTCTCTTACATGTCACCCATGCTCACCTCTACCCTAGCCAACCTATCGTCCATGGTAGCCCAGATGTCTTTCGAGTTGGCCTTCTTGCCTCTTCCACGCCCCTGCTCCTGGGCCTCTGGTTGTTGGCTAGCAACATCACTTTGGGATGCCATCTCCTCAACTGTGATCTAACCTGAACAACACAAACATGCAGAATCGAACTTGCTCTGATACCAACTGTCATGGGCTCCAACCTTAGACTCAGAATCCATGGGGCCTTAGGCTTGGAATCACCTCCTTATAGCCTAAGTCAGCCTAAAACACCAGCGTGTGAGCACTAAACCAATGGGAAGGGCTGAATATGCAAGTTTGAGAGAAACAGAAAAACAAGATAACTTGCTGGAATATGCTCTGTATTCATTGAAACAGAAGTGTATGATGATGTACAAATAAGGATGGAGCAGCCCCATATTTATAGTTGAGGCTTCAGCTACACTTAATGGCAATATCCCTACAATCAAGGCTAAAATCAAGGAATTACAAAGATTACAATCAATCACGATTCTAACTCCTGAATTCTAGGGTCAACCAAATCTGTCATGAGGCTCCTGCTGATCTTGAAGGCTTCCAGAAGATTCCCTTGCTTATCTCCCACCTTAGGCCCTTCTGGAAATGGTGCAAGCATCATGCAAGCCAGGCCTTGGTCGTGTGGGTTGGCCTGCAGGCGGTGCCGGTGTTCTAGCCTTGTCTCCTAGGCCTTGCGTGCAAATACCCGTCAGTGCACCTGATGTGTAGGCCTCAACCTCTAGCTCGCGTGTTTATGCACCTAATGTGCCTGGCACGCCCAGGGCGTGACACTAGCACTTGAAGGCCATCAGATCAGATATAAACACAAGAAAGTAGATTGCCATAGTTTGGTGTGGCTTAAACTCATATACCATGGCATTGGCATCATGCTATAGTATATAGCATGCACCATAGATGGCCATCTTGTATTGGTTACCAACAAAATAGAGGAATAATTCTTGGTTACCAAATTGACTGCTACATGAGTAGTCTAGTCTGGAGGTCGATCGAGGAAAAGTAGTTTGCACTTTGCAATTTCTTGGGTGTATTTTTCAGCTGTGGGCACTAGCTCAAGATAGAAGACTAGGTCGTAGCCCGTAGGTACTTTAAGCTGAAATTATTAGATTTATTGCCTATGATTACTTTAACATAAAATTATAACTAGATTAATTGTCAATGATTAATTAGCATAACCTTGAAAATATAATATTGGAATTAATATTTTATCACCACATTAAAAATGCATAATTATTAAAAACTCCTCCCTTTAAAATTTCTCTTTTTATATATAATTGTGCTCAAATCTTGTTAACTAATGTAATGTTGTTTATCATTAAATATTTTATATATTTAAGCTAACAATTATGCTGTCTATCAGTTAAATTTAAAATTTTAGTAAGCAAAATTCAATTTTCGACAATATTAAATAAAAAATTTAATGTAATAATTAATATAGGAAAAGATCAATAATTCAATAGTAAACTTACCTCTATCACTTGCCATGACCGCTGCATGCAAAGCGGTCGTACCTTTAGGGCCAGCATGAGCCACCGATTTGCATTTAGTTAACATCTCAGCCACCAAATGATGATATCCTCTCCTAGCCGCTATGTAAAGTGAAGTCTCACCATATTTATTTGCAGGGTATACGAAATCAGGGTCTGCTTCGACTAATGCTTGCACCACTTTAAGATGGCCATATCGAGCTGCAATATGCAGAGGAGTATTTTCTTCCTTATTATCTCTTATTCTTAGCATTTCCTTGGCCGTTTCTATCCCATTCTCTAGGTCTCCTTGTTGAGCAAATTTAGCGCGTTCCAAAAGCAATTTCACAGTAGGACGATGCCCGTATCTGGCTTCAATGTGCAGCGGAACTTCACCTTTTGCATTGGCTTGTAGTAGCAATGATGGGCACTGGTTAAGAAGGTGTTCGACGAATTCGGTGGATCTCAAAGTCGAAGCTCGGTATCTGTAATAAATGAAGTAAATGATATGAAAAACTCTAGCCTTGTGCCTTCGGTTTGCCAAGTAAACATGGAGGACTGTGTTTTGATTTGGGGTGACAATGCGATCAGACGGCCTTTGTAATCATTAAATGCTTCAATTTTGCCATCAACGGCAGCTTTGTACAAATCAACGTTCATGTAGGTGGCAGTCTCTACATTTAGAGATGAAGGATCCATTTGGTTGTGCGAGGCTGTCTTAGCTATTTTACAGTAACTTTATATGCAATCTTCAAGGAAATTTCTTTTTTTTCTTAACAATTTGTTAGTTTTCAATTTACAACTTGTGATGCATTAATGTTGACAAATACGAAACGTGTGAATTTGTTCATAGTTGACGAGGTCAATGTGAAGTTTAAAGGCGAAATTTCTATGCCAAATAGTTGTGTTAATTGATTGATAAAATATTTAATAATAAAATTTAAATTTTGATAATTTGTATAAAAATTTTTTGTTAAAATTGGGGTCAACTGACAACTTCCAACCACGTGAATACGAAAAGATTGAATATTTCAATGTGAATGTGAAAGAAGCATTCACTGACTAATGATGGGTAGGGAAAGTTACATCTATACACGGAACAGACAATCACCCAGGTCTACGGGCGGATCTCTACTTAAATCTTCGGACAAAAATTTTTAAGTTGGAGATCCACTTCATCCAGCTTAAAAATATATTCCCTCTGTCCTTTTTTATTTTTTTAATATTTTAAAATTATATATTTTTAACATTTAAAATGTTTACTTTCTTATATTTAAAATTATTTTTTATAATTTTTTAATTTTTTGACATTAAAAATTATAAAACTTTAATTTTATAAAAAAAATTAAAATTTAATATTAAATACATTAAAATCAAAATATTTTTCTCCATTGATTAAAAAAAGACCAATTCAATGAATTGGTTATCTGTTCAGTGCTAAGGAGTTCTTAAAAGAAATAAAAATAGTGATTTCAAACCAAAATTTCCTTTTCTTTTCTCCTAGGCTACTGCCTATTTTATATAAAAAAAAAATTGTATTAAACTGCATGTTTTGAATCGATTTTGGATGTTAATTTTTTATTTAATTATTCAAAAATATTTTGTAAATAATAAGATTTAAACTTTGGATCTTTTAAATTTACATTAAAAAAAATTAATGCATGTCTTTATTAATTATTTACCGTATTTAATATTTATTTAACATAAAAATATGCATTTAACCGAAAGCTCCACCATAAATATTACGGACATGGGTTCTATCCATGCCCAATTCAAAAATTAAATTGGCCCAAATTAAAAACAAATTTTAGTTGGGCTTTGGTGTGTATATATATATATATATAGAGAGAGAGAGAGAGAGAGAGAGAGAGAGAGAGAGAAAGAGAAAACGCTGACGTCAGAGTTTAAACCTTTCTTCGGTTCTTACCCTTTTAGACTTCAAAATTTTTGGGCGGATTTTTGCTCGTCTTTTTTCTCTTTCACCCAAAAAATGTCAACTTTAATCTCTAGCTTAAAAGATACCGCCCAATCCCTCACTGCAATCCGCCGTCCCTGGCGGGACTTCCTCGACATCACCGCCGTCGATTTCCCATCCTCCTTCTCCGACGCAACCACCCGAATCGCCCAAAACCTAACTCATTTCCCCCTTAATTATACCATACTTCTCCTCTTAATCCTCTTCTTATCCCTAATCTACCACCCTCTCTCTGTCCTCGCTTTCCTTGTCATCCTTCTCGCTTGGTTCTTCCTCTACTTCGGCCGTGATCGCGAAGAGCCCATCGTGATCTTCGGCCTCACGATCGACGACCGACTCGTCATAGCTGCGCTCTTCGGCTTGACGGTGGCGGGATTGGTTTTGACCGGCGTTTGGGTCAATGTTCTGGTGGCGGTTGCCATCGGGGCAAGTTTGGTAATTTTGCATGCAGCATTGAGGAGTACGGACGATTTGCTGATGGACGATTTAGAGTCACCATATGGACATGTGCTTGCTGGTAGGGATGAGGAGCTTGATAGCCCTAGAGGGCATTACAGTGGTATTTGATTTATGGGTTTTTTTCGTTTCTATTTTTTTTAGTTGTATTTACAGATTGAAACATTGTATATTTACAAAATTGTTTAATGTAATCTCATTGTTGGCAATGAAAAACCAGTCTTTCTTTTCTACGAATTCTTACTTGTTTTTAATATGATTAAACTGTAATGTTGTAAAATTAGTTTGAAAATGATTTTGGTCGAATTTGGAAAGGATTATTTAAAAATTCTCAAACTTGGAGGAAAAAAGGCTATTAATAGCAAATTCCCAGATATGATTTAACGGTAGTAAGGATGATAGGAAGAGTGCTTTTATGACATTATTTATGTTGTGGAAATTGAATCTGTCACAAGCATCTGCTTTTCTATTCTGAAATGTTGATTTCCCAAGACTTGCCATCTTGGTTTTGATGGTTGTCGTATAAATAGAGAGTGAAAATCTTTGAATTAAGGGGTAGATTGGTTGTTGCAGCATTTTCCTGAAGATGGTGCATGGTAGTGAATAACGGTTTTGATCCTCGTGATTGTCTGCATTCATTGGATAATGGGTGCAGTCAGAAACTTGGGAGGCCATTACCATTACAAGCTTTCGAGTTATTCAAATGAAGCTTGTTTCGAACTTGAGAGATTCTCCTACAAAATGTCTAGTTTCTTAGTCAGTGGAACAAGTTGCTCTAAACATTTCTCTAAAATTGCTTGAAAATACTCGTTATGGCTGTTTCTCCACTCTACTTTAGTGTGGATTGTTAAAGGAGAGTCTCGAGGGATTGCCAGAAATGATGCAGGACGGACTGGCTTCGAAGCTTTTGCAGCAATCCCCATCCGTACGGCTGCTGTTGCTTAGAGTTGTGCATCATGAGCTGAAGGTTACAAGGATTGTAGTTTCAGCTGCTTCAGCTTGCCCTCAGGAAAGGGATTCGGAAGCTTATGGTGGTAAAAGCTTTCTGCACTTGCGTAATGAGAAGTGCATTAGCCATTAAGGTTGCCCTGGAAAAGTAGAAGGTGACGTCCTTTTTAAGAACGATCACCTCCCAATCCCAACCTTTGATTTAAGTCATGCATATACAGAAGGAACTGGTTCTGTATCTTTGCTGGATAATTTATAAGGTTAACATTGAAATAGATCGAACTAGGCAGTTTAACTTAATTTCCATGTAGCGATAGGGGTTCAAACTCGATACCCTTAGCCCCAGAGTCGACTCCAATACCCTTAGCCCCAGAGTCGACTCCAATACCATTGATCTATCAGCTCATTAGTCATGTAGCTGGCTTTTATTTGACTGAAATTCTCTTCATTTAATTTCCTTTTTAGTTTAAACGAAGCAAAATAACACAAGTTAGAAATAAAAAGATATAGAGGTATTGACAAGTACAATATTTTTCAACAATTATTAAATAACTTTCTTGATTCAAACAAGAATTTCTTTGCTTAAAATCTATTCTATTACAAGGAATGAAGGAGTCGAGAAGAACAAGAAAAAACTTGAGCTGGACAAAAGCTCAGGTCAAAGACTTAAGCCAAACTGACATGCCTAGTAGTTGTATGACTGCAAAAATGCTTAGACAACATGTATTTTAACTCTTTTCCCCGAGCATATGCACTTACTCTTCTGCATGGACTAGGATCAGTTTAGCAAGAAGCCGTTTATTAGAACATACTTTTATGGGGGCTGAGCTTTTCGACTGTATGATAGCACCATCACAAAGTCTTTGGCTGAGCTGCCGACAAATGTTTGTATTCTTTCTGATGATGGAGTTGTCTGCACCCACCAGTCTACGAGGTTGTGCAGCTGCAGTGTAGAAAGCAATGGTTGTCCCCGCAAAGAGATCTCCACCTAAAGAATTCCAGGTACCAACCAAGATCAATTACAAGTTCTCATACTTCATTTATTAACACGTATGAGGGAATGGTATAGGTAAAACTAAGAAATGAAAGCTGGGGAATTGTAAATTTACCTCGGTCTCACTAGGAAGACCAAGCTTTCTTACAAGATACTTCTTGATAGTCGAAACAGGTAAACTGCCATCCCTATAAGTGTTAAGAAAAGTCCATAAGTTTATCAGTTATGCCATTGTCAGACATAACCTGGAAACAAAGTTGAACAACAAAGGACACTTAACCTAATAATATCTGATTAACAGCTTATATACAAAGATAGAATCAGAAACTTGAACCGGTAATATGACCAAACGGCAAAAAGAATTAGTGACCTCATTTGTATAATCAAATTAAGTGCCCATATTAAATCATTAAACTCTTCCTATAAGCTTTCCTAGTTCATGAGACTTGCCCCTTGAATGCCAACTGGTTGAGCCTTTCACCTTGTGAACACATGATGACAGGCACTGGAATATTGAAATTCAGTGTTTAAAATTCAAAGAACCAAAAGCCAACAACTTCTTTATATTCACCTACGCATCATCGTTGAAGCGGAAGGAAATTTGAGTATACTGGAAACCAGAGGATATGCATCCATTTAACCAATATTCATCCTCAACTCTCTATGATTCCTTTACCACTCCGAAATGCCACTATATGCATATTTTGATTTCAACTTATAATTTATAAACACACACTAGTACTTGCAAATTTATACCAAACTGGAAATAAGAATCTGATTTCAGTGGACATAAAGGTACACAATCATATAACAAGAATCAGTGGCTACTGGGTACACACACACATACACACACTAAAAAAAAAAAAAAACACCACAAACGAAGGAACAAAAAGCATGTAATAACAGATAGACCACCCCAAGAATGAAATCTTTAAACCAAAGAATCAGAAAAACATCCAAGTTTAACTAACCACCTTTATTTATACATGGAATATATCAAGCATGGATTGCTACCAAACTGAGGAACATGGTACAGAAAAAACATGTAGTTAATCATAAGATTGCGCTTTCTAGGGACAACTAAATTGACATGCAAAGCACCACTCAAACTGTCAAGAACACAGGAGGTAACAGGCTAATGATACTCACTTAACCCTTAAGTAGCACGAAGATATCTGAGGCAGAGGTGCATCTCCTTCCCTGAAAACCATGTGTAAGAATTAAAAACTCAACATAGAAGCAGAAGAATTAAATTTGCTTTAAAGTAAATCGAGGCTCATTGCTCGATAACGCCTAATAATGAAAATTATAAGCTTACTGGCTCTCAGAAGCAACTAAGGAGAACCATATTGGACTGAATCTTCCGTCATATTTATTCCTTGAATCAACCACAGCTTGCGCTGGAATAATCAACCTCTCAGAGATAGCTTCTCTCATTTGTCGGATGCCTCCAGACCTGCTTGGTCTCACTGGTGTTGAAGGTTCTGGCATTGAGCCATTGTCTTTACTGGGAACATTTGATCCATTACCGCATTCCTTTACTGCGGGGAGATTTACTTCATTGTCATGGGCATGGGGTACTGATTTTGCAGTGTTCCCATGTGAGTTGACCTTGTCAGGCTTTGTTTTACTTGCAGCTTCCACCAGGCGATTTAAGGGTTTACACAAATCAGCTTTTTCTTCTAATGCTTCAGCATTGCTTCCGGTGCTTCTATCAAGCACATGACGCTTAGATGACTCCCCAACAGAATAATCCTGATAGATAAAAGGTTAACATATACATATTAAAAGATAAAGCACAACATTTTCAAAGGAAAGAATGCTGAAAGAGGCATAGTATTTTGGGCAACCTTGCTATAGGTCTGAGGTGAGCTTAGAGTTTTTGGTAGCTCTTCGAGCTTTGAAACATGTTCCTCATTGAGAAAAGGAGATTCTTGGCTTGCAATAGTCTTCCGTGCAGTAAGCTTTGATCTTCTCACAGTCAAACTAGACTTTGCTGATACTCTGGGTGTGCTAACCACCAACGAAGAGAGAGATCTCTCCTTTCTTCTAGCCGGAGATGGAACTAGGATCCTACCTTCAGGTTCCTTGGACTTATGTTCTTTGGAAGGAAAGATTTTATTCATTATATCTTGCCAATTATTATCTGCCCTGCAGATATGAGAAGCACCAAAGTTTTCATGTTCACCAACCTCCCGTTATATGATTTCTGTTGTCTTTCAATTGGTAAATAAACTTTTAATAAATGCCCATGATTGTGCAAATAGAATGAGGCAAGCATGAACTACTTAGAAAAAAAATTGTATGCATACACAACTCAGACAGAAGAACAAACATATAAAACTCATAAAAGTGACCTCCTGTGGTTTAATTAAAAATGCATAGAACAGGCAAATTAATAGCATCAAGTACCCGAAAAATGGAGCTACATCACCAAAGAACTAGATTGAAAATGAACAGCCTGGATGAACACAGAAAGTAACTAAATTCTTGTCTCCGTTTAAATTTTCTTAATCTCTTATTTCTCTTTTATATGCATCATTCAAAATAGTTGAACTTGTGCTTCATGGTTGATGTCACAATGTGATGATCTATTACCTGAGTTTCTCTAATGGAGCACAACCAAGATCAATTGTGCAAACTGGACAGCTGTCTAGCTCCTCTTCTTTTATCTTCTCATATATGCACTTCTTGCAAACTGCTTTTGAAGTTTAATCAGGAACATGAATCAAATATCATTCGTTAATTATCATAACGTAAATGAAACTTCAACGTAACACACCATTGCCGAGAGCTCAGCTTATGTGCATAATATTACTCGAGCAGGGTATTGCCAATCTCATAAGCTTAAACACAGATTGATTAACCTTAATAAAGGAAATCAAAGAAGATTTTGTGGCAATTTGAAAATACAGATCTGTTAAACTTATCATTATAATTAGGAGTGTCAAGACAGCCAAGAATTTCCTGGTAAAGTCATCCTATAAACCAGCACTGCCAGCAACTTTTCCAAGTTCTCAAACTTGGAAGACAAAGGCAGAGCCTGAGCCAGAGCATTGCTCTGAGACACTTTTAGCAACACTGACGAACCATTATAACCATTAATTTACTATAACTGAAACGAATTTACTGTTCTTATCCCTCATTGAAAATGCTTTATCATGATAATGATGGGAAATTTAATGGTCCTCCCAAAACTTCATTTGCCAAGGTCATGTTTATATTAATATCAATGAAATCTGAATATAAATCAAGAGATACCCAAACTAACAAAACAACCAATATGTACCAAGAACCCCAAGACAATGAGCTTACAAAAGAAAATACAAAGACAAAAGATCGAGTGCCAAATTAGATACAATGATATGAGTAACATGGAAGGAGATGAATGAGAGACAAATTAACTCACAAGTGTGAAGGCATTCAGATATGGTGGTGGCATCTTCGAAGAGCTTATTGCAAAGGGGACATGTCATGCATGCCACGAGCTTCTCCCTATCAACCTTCGAATCCTCCCCTCCTGTTTCCATTGTCGTCGTCTTCTTCAATCTCTACACTAACTCTATTATCACAGGCAAGACCAGCTTCCTTTTTCCCTCTTGAAACCAATGTTTGTCATCATTTATTCACGTACGCGGTGCATGCCACAAAAGCAAAATGAATCACGACGTTTTCCCTCATTTTCCACGGCAAAGAAAATGTCACAAGAAGGGGAACCTAGTGATCATTCACAATCGGTGCTTCTTGGGGTGTTTGTGTGATTGGCAGGCAAGAAAAAGAAAACTAAAACAACAGAGAAAACGTTTGGGATTTTTTGGAATATAAGACGTTGGTATTGTTCGATGTCGACAATGGACTGTGTTGTTATCGATGATCAAATCGAAGCTTTTCAATGGTTAGAAACCAAACATCAACTCCACGATGAACATGTTCTCTCTTTTTTGTTTTTTACATAAGCTCTAAGCACATATAAATATTGCGTGACTTCAGCTAAAATGCGCCGTTTGTTGATTGAGATTAGATCATTATTTATGCTCCACCGTAGATTTTTAAGAAAAAATTGTGTTATTTAGACCTAATTTTTTAATTCAAAAGTCGTCCCGTTATATGTGTAAATAAAATATCGTGGGTTATTTTAGAAGTAAAATTATAAATGTATTAAATTAATTAAATTAGAACAAATTTGGAAATCCGAACAAAATTTGAAGATACTACAGATTTTCTTACTAAAATAAACAAAAGACCTAATTAAATCAAATATCAAATGCATTTTCTATGTAATTTGCTTAGATTGTAGATGTGGTTTAATAAAAAATCTCAAAGCATAAAACATTTTTATTTTAAATTTTTTTACTAATGATAGTATTACCTTTGTCATGTTCATTTAATAATAAAATAAAAGAATTATTAAATTAATATATACTTAATAAAATGAGCACATGATAAATATATTTATATATTTTTAAACATAAATGCAACATATAAGAGAATATACATATAGGGTTGGCAATCCAACTTAAGTCCGTGGTTTCCAACCTAATTTAATCTTATAAGATTTTTTTTTAAAAAAATTAGATTTAGAGTCAGATTTTTTTGAAAAGAGGTCAAGGTCTAGTTTTATGCAAATCTGTCTCAACTTGACCTGATATATTATTATTATTATTATTATTATTATTATATTTAAAAATAATATTTTATATTAAAAATAATATTTTATTAATTTCAAATCATTTATAGTTTTATATATATACGAATCGGATCAAATTCGAGTATTAAAAAATAATATTTTAATATCAAATCAGGTTAGATTCGAGACGAGCAAAAATTTTCTTGACCCAACCCACCGTCATCTCTATACACGAATTAGCTGATGGGTTTTTTTTTCATTAAGTATTTTCATTTTTTTGTTTTTTTGTGTGTTTTTAGATTTTTTTGCTTTTTAATTTTTTTTTAATTTTATATATTTCAAATGGAAACATCAACTCCATTTTTTTATACTTAGTAAATATTTTTAATTTTTTTAAAAAAAAAAATTTTGACTCACTTAATAACAATCTTTTTGGATTTTCTTTTTTTTTTTTATCTTTCTTTTAAATATTTGATAAGTTTTTTTATATTTTATTTTATTTTTTTTGGACTTGCTCATACTAAAGATATATCTTTTTTTTTTGCAGTTTTTACTTTTTTTTATCTATTTTTAATATACTTAATAAATTATTTTTTGACTTTATTTTTTATTAAACTCACTTGATATTAAAGATATATTATGTGTCAAACCATTTGTTTTTTTTTTTCTTTTCTTATCTCTTTTTTATTTATATTTCTTTATTTTCTTTTTTACTTAATCTATCTTTTCAAATATTTTAATTTTTTAAAATATGTGGCCCATTTGATATTATTATTAAAATATTTTTTTCTTTTTTTAAATTGATGAATTTAAGAAATAGATATTAATACAGATGTCAACGACCAAATTAGATTTTTTTTTCTTTTTTTGGTCCTTTCTTTTTTAGCATTTTTTAAATCAATTATATAAATCTTTAAGAAAACCTTACCATAACCGATATTACATGTCAACTCAATTTTTTTTCTTTACTTTTGACCTTTTTATCTTTTTTTTAGTTTTTTCTTTTTCTTTAATTAGATCATCTCTTAGAATAAAAAGCCAACGAACGCATAAATCTGGCACGTAAGTTCATTTTTTCATATTTTTTATTTTTTAATTAGATAAATTTTATAACAAATAAAATTGGTAAACATATTTTTGAAAAAAATATCTATTGACATATGGAAAACAAAATAACTTATATCCTATGAATTTTAATTCATCTGAATCCAATGGGAGTGTTTTCTAAAATTTGAGATCAAATCAAGTTTTTTTCCAAAATATCAAAGTCAGGTCAAATACGAGTTTAAAGTATTTTGCTTTTCAAATTATATATAAATATATGTTTTATTATCAATTTTAATTTTATATTTATATATTTATTATATTATAAAATTATTATTTAATAGTTAATTTAATAAATTTATGTTTCATCCCTATTTGATTTTTTTCTTTTTTTTTTGCCACTTTCTTTTTTAAATGAATTTATTTAATTAGATAAATTTTACAAAAAAAAAAGTCAATTAATATAAAGATGATAAAATAACTCACATTGCATAAGTCTCTATTTGGTTTTATCTAAAATGTGCAAATTTTTAATAAAAAATTAAAGTTTTTTTTTCAAATCGAGGTCAAGTTGGATATAAGTTTAGAGTCTTTTCTCTTCCTCCAAGTATATATGTAAAAAATTATTTTATTTGTTTATTATACATATGTATTGTATTAATAAAGTTATTATTTAATATCTTAATTTAATAAAAATATTATATTTATATATAATTAAAATTTAATCCATTCATCAATCCATTATGTAAATTTTTCTCATTTTGATTTTTTTTTAACTTCATTTAAAGTATCAATGTGACAATTTATGTTTTTTCATTTTTTATTTTTTTATTTTTTAAATTAGATAAATTTGTTAAAAAAACCTATGGAGATATCACACGGTATTCAAATTGGATTTTTTTTCCTCTTATTTTTTTGTTTTTTAAATTATTTGAATTTGTAATAAAAGAAACTGATAAATAGGGTCACATGACAATTTGTACCAAATTAATTTTGATCCGACTTGATCCAATAAAATGATTTTTTTAATCTTTTTTGGTTTTTTTGTGGTTGTTCTTTTTTGTTTTTTATTAAAAAAATTTGTAAGAATAGATATGTTCACATATCTCCCTATATGTTTATTATCTTTCATCTTTTTTTTTTTTAATTGCATCAATTTTACAACAAATTAGTCTATTGATAAGGATAGAAAAATAATCAGTAACCTATAAATTTCTATCCATCTCGATTTTATATAGACAGTTTTTATTTAAAAATCGATGTCGAGTCAAGTAAGGTTAGTTTTTTCGTAAAATGAAAAAGCTGGTCAAAAACACATTTATAACCCAAGTCAACTTATAATATATATATATATATGTATGTATGTATGTTCATATATATATAAGTATATATTTTATTATCTATTTAATTTTATATTTATATATTTGTATTATATTAATAAAGTTATTATTTTGTACCTCAATTAATGATATTGCAATTTGAACTCAATTTGCATGTCAACATGACACATTAATGATCTTTTTTTATTTATTTATTTTTAAAATTTTTATTAATAAAATTATTATTTGATATATTAATTTAAAAGATTAATATTTTAAGCCCAATTTGATATACAAATAGCACTTCAATGAGCTTCATTTTCTTTTCTTTTTGTTTTTTAATTTTTTTATTATTTTTGTTTTTTTAATTTTTTATGCCTTTTTAAATAAATTCATTTTGTAAAAAGATAAGGCTAATGGTGTTGTTCACGTGGTACCCTATTTAATTTTTTTTCTTGTTCATTTCTTTAATTAAATAAATTTTATAACAAAATATGTCAATTGATAGATATGTTAAAACAATCCATATCTAACAGGTTTTGTCTATCTTGATTTGATGAGAGGTGATTTTTTTCAATCGAATTGAATTGTAACAAGTCAAGTTTTTTTTATAAGGTTCAGATTGAGACTAAAGCATGTTTAATGTGCTTTATCCCTACTCATCAAGATATATATAAAAGTGTATATTTGATTATTAATTTAATTTTTATTTATATATGCATTATATTAATAAATTTATTTTTTTATACCTTGATTTTAGAAATTAATATTTTAAACTCAATAAAGATGTCCATGTAAAATCCTTTATGAGCTTTTTTATTTTTATTTTTTTCTTTTTTTTCTTTTCTGCTTTTCATGATTTTTTATATTTTTATTTTTATTAGATATATTTTGTAAGAATAAAAAGCCAATTTAGTTATTTATGTATCACACTAATTTGGTTTTTTACCTTTCTTTTTTTTTAATTTATGTAAATAAGTAAATTTTACACAAAAGAAACCGATGAATAGATATGCCAAAATGAAAAAAATTTGATCCATGGCAATGTGTAGGAATCCACCTCGTTATATTAATATCATTATTGAAAGAGATTTATTTGCTGTCATGTGGCAATCAGATTTGCTCTAGCCAAGTCTTAGATAAAGTTTTCTAATTAAGTTCTAATCCGACCCAACTCTTATTATTTTTAATTAATAAAAATTTTTTAAATATTTAAATATTTTTTACAAAATTTGGACCTATCAAGTTTGACGAATTAGGCTAGTTTAGGCCCTAAATAAAATTTTTAGATGTCCAACTCATCAATTTAGTCATTCATAAATCTATAGTATCCATGAACCCAATTAATTTTAAATGAATGTATTTACTATTTAATTTCACTTAAGTTTAATATTTTGAGCTACGTACATTCAATCTATTGAGTTGTATAAATATCCATAAATCAAATAGATTATTCCTATCAATATATTCTCATTTAGTGCATTTATTGAAATTCTTCCAACAAATATCAATGAGTAGTTTTATATTATATTAATTAATTTCTTTTATTTTTACTTCAAGTTACATAAATCTAATTATATATAAACTTAATAATTCACGAGTTTATGATATCCATGAACTCAATTAATTATGGATGAATCTACTTAATATTTAGTGTCATTTAAGTTTAATAGTTTAATTCTAGATTTAAATCTATTGAATGTTATAAATACTCATGAATCAAATTTCAGATTGTTCCTTTCAATATATGCCCTTTAGTATATTCATTTAAATCCTTTTTACATAAATAATAATTATATTGTGTATTATATATATATATTTAAAAATTCTATTTCAATTTAATTTTTGTAAGTTTCAAAACTTTGTAAAAATATAAATTGTTGGTTTTCAATCATTAAAAATCAATGTTTAAATTTTAATTTATGTATCAAGAGTTCACATTAAATAAATT